TCTTCTTATCATAGCATACCAACCAGCGAACACCCAGCCAAGTTTAGTTAGCCAGTTTGAGTATTCGTTACACGAAGCTCCTATCTAATGGCAGACGTGCCAGTCTTATATAGAACCTTCGTTCTCTTGTGCTAGCTTGCTAGACTCGTCGCTCGGGCCTTCCTTATANCACGAAGCTCCTATCTAATGGCAGACGTGCCAGTCTTATATAGAACCTTCGTTCTCTTGTGCTAGCTTGCTAGACTCGTCGCTCGGCCGCTGCTAGACTGGTAGACCAGTCGCCCCGTCTAGCGACATATATCACGTGATAACAATACAGAGAAATCCCTGGATCGCTTAGCTACTCCAAACGATCCCTATTTGCTACAAGAAACCTGGATGTGCCTTTCGAGGATTGCGCCTTTTATTATGACAAGTATCACGTGAGCACGTGATTTGTGACACTCTAAGCAGTACTCGAGTTATCAAGTATTTTATTATAACGCTAATAGGTAATAGTAAGTATAGGCGATAGTAGGGTAGTAGGTATTTAAATCTATATATAAGAATCTAAGGTCTAACCTTATAAATTTAAGAATAATATAGTAGTATATATAGAGGTATAGATATAGTATACCTATAACAGTAGTACCAAATATACAACTCCAACAACTCAATCATCCGGTTCAGTAGTAAATCCAGGATACCGTAATACCCAGAATACCGTAGCTCGCCTCACTTACAAATTCACAATCCAATCAATTAATCAATCAACACAATTCATTCATGATTAAATCTACAAAAAGCAAGGCTATGATAATACAACCCTTTGCACGAGTTTTCATCGATCCGATCAAATCGAACCAAAAAAGGAGAGTCCTATTTCTTCTGCCTCTTCGCACTCTTATCACTAACCGCACTCATCACACTCGCACTCCTCTTATGCGCAACCCCCTTCACACTAGCCGTCGGACTCCCCGCTTTCTCTTCGTTCCTAGGCTCTGAATTGGTAGGTCCAGGTCCAGTCGTAGTCGTAGTTGTAGTCCCATTCACACTCCCAGGCGCACCACTATTCCCCTTGCCTCCCGTACCAACCACCGTCTCCGCACCCGCACCCACATCACCACCCTCCCCCGCATTCTCACTCTCCCTCGCCAACCTCTCCCGCTCCGCCTTCTGCGCCCTCGCGATATTAATCTCAGCCGTCAACTTATCAGCCACCTTCCTACAATCCAGAAGGTTATTGATACTCGTCAACAGGCCATCATACGACTCTCCCACATCGGCAGTCGGCATGATGAGTCGAGGAGGGATCTCCAATTCCGTGAGCACGTTATTGATGATCTTTTGTTGATTCATGGATTTCGCCAGGAGAGGTTTGAAGATCTTCTCTTGACGGAAGGCAGGTCCACTGGTTCCGATTCTCTCATGACGAGAAACACCATACATCTCTTCTTCCTCCTTGGAGAGTTGACGTCGCTCAGCTGGGTTGGGAGGACCTTTCTTGTTATTTGGAGCTGAAGGTCCACTGATGGATTCTCGAGCGGAACTTTCTCTTCTGTGATCGGGATTCTGTTGGGTTGGACCACTAGGACCTGCAGGACTGATTCCCTCGCCGCCCATGATGGATTTTCGCTGTTTCTTGGATTTATCCATAGACATGAGTTGTTGTAATAATTGACCAAGTCCTACACTACTGGTGAAGTTGTTGGTATGGCTGGAACTTGATGGAGCATCTAGGCGGGCGTATAATTCTCGTCTCTCATCGCTAAACCTCTCCGATCGGGCGTTGATTCGTTTTAATTCAAGAAGTAAACTTTCTTCTTCTCTTGCCTCCTCTTTCGTTCGTAGGAATGAGTTCTCTGCAAAGATCTTCCTGGCTTTCTCCTGCTCGGGGTTGAAATTCAACATCACTTCGTGAAGACTGAACTCGGCGCTATTCATCTTGATAGGTGGTTTCCGAATCACCATCATCGTAGCCGTAACAGCATAATATCTCGCTTTCAAGTCCTCCATCGATCGTGTCTTGGGCGCAACAATAATCGCTCTCGCATTGCCATCTGCTTCGCTGGGAGCTTGTTCTGGAATAGGCGGTTCATATTCATATCGATCCCATATAATCGGCCATCGCAAATCGAATTGTGAAACCATCTTCATGAGATAATCCGTCTCGTCTTTAGTCCAGTCCTCAGATCGAAGCCGCGATTCGTATTCCTCCGGCGAGTAATCAAAAAGTTCAACCTGAACATTAAACTTCGCAAACCCCGAGTCCTCCATCTGCTCCTCCCCTCCCACCACCCCCTCCATCGTCTGCGTCGCACTATCTCTGTTCTCTCCCGCAGGTTGTGGGGGCAGTTTCCTCTTCTCATCCAGCCTCCTCCAATGCCTCAGAATCAACGAATCGTCACTCCTCGCCGAATTCCTAAAAGGTCTCAATTCCCACTTCGCAGCCGGTTTCCGACTCGCAAATCGTCTCTTTTTGAATATCGAACCTTCCGGCACAATCGCGATCGGATTGTCACCACTCAGATTCTGGACCTCACGCGCAAGTCCCTTGAGAACCGGGCGCGGGGCAGCGACCTTTTGTTTCTTGATGGGTCTCGCAGCGCCTTCCTGTGGGAGATCCAGCATATCGCGGACATCGTGGGACGTCATGTTGAAACTAATTCTTCGCAGCCAGGTCCCGGATATGCGGTCGTGAGGTCGATGGGTTTGGTGGTGGTGGTATAGTTATTGATGGATCGAAAGGTTCATGGCCTCGTCATGTTGGACGCGTTGCCCAGGGCTGAGAAGCTGCCGCCAAAAAAGACGCAGCCTCGTCTCACGTGCACCTTTCCTTTGGCAATCTGGCCGAATTCACGCGAGGCGAGGCTCTCCTATCCAACGCGAGATATCAACCACATCAACCGCATCCCAATTGTCAAAGGCACAAAAAAGAAGAAGAGTGAAACAATGCGATCGATACTTCCCCTCCTTTCTCTGGGCGCCCTGCTCGCCCCCGTTCAAGCGTTATACTTCTACATCGACGGCACAGCGCCGAAATGTTTCTTCGAGGAGCTACCCAAGGATACCTTGGTAGTAGGACACTACACAGCAGAGGAATATGACGAGAACCGAAAGACATGGAGTAAACATGACGGACTGAACATTTTTATCTCTGTTGATGTAATAATCCCCTTCCTTCAACCCCATACCAAATAAAACATCTACTAACAACCCTCCCAGGAAGTCTTCGACTCCGACCACCGCGTGGTATCTCAAAAAGGCTCCAGTTCCGGCCGCTTCACCTTCAGCGCCGCCGATTCAGGCGACCATAAGATTTGCTTCACGCCCTCGTCTACATCCGGGAACTCGGGCTGGTTGTCTGTTCTCCATCCCTCGGGCGGTATCAAACTCACTCTCGATTTGGTGATTGGAGCTACGAGTGCGATTGAGAGCACAGATAAAAGCAAGATCGACGATATCGTACAGAGGGTGAAGGATTTGAATGGGAGACTGCAGGATATTCGACGGGAGCAGGTATTCCAACGGGTATGTTATATCTTTGTTTCTTTATATCTGGCTGAAGGATTGGATATGGAGGATTTGGATGGATTCTTGGATGTCTTTACATTGCCAGATAATACCGATTCTGGAAGTATACAAACAGATACTAATGAAGTGAAATAGGAACGAGAAGCAGAATTCAGAGACCAATCCGAAACCACCAATGCCCGTGTAGTCCGTTGGACCCTCATCCAACTCGTCGTCCTAGGCGTAACCTGTGCCTGGCAACTCACCCACCTCCGCGCCTTCTTCATCAAGCAAAAGTTAACTTAGACCCCCATTCGCTATACGTCGAAGGTTTTTCGAATTTGGAGGCTATGTTTGTTTACTTAGTTCAGTTGAAGGTCAGCATTGAATGAGGACCTATACATGTTTCTTCTTTATCATGGGATGAGGTGAGGTCAGGTTAGGTTTGGCATGTCTTTCAACGAATGAGACGAAGAGAAGAGACCAAATGACCTACCTCCTCCATTGTAAGATACTGAATGAGGGGTGGTAGTTTTGGTTCGGGGCGCAGAATGGAATACAGTATGAAGCGAATGATCGGGTCCGTATGAAACGCAGCACGAATTGAAAAATCAACAACCAAAACTTGATATCAAAATCAAAATCAAAATAATGAAAACAAACCAAAAAACATCACAACCCCGATTTACTCCGTACAAGTTCTTCCTGGTGTAAAAGACCTGCCAATGCCTAGAAATCTACTCATATAGACTCGTGCGTTTCCCAAATCCGAGTATGGAAATCTTACAAGACTGCAAATCCCGTGGTCCTCGTAGCCTCGTAGGGGTATCAGCAAACCCAAGAGTGAGTTTCCTGAGAGTCAATACTATTATACTATACTATACTTTACCCAACGTACTATAACGTGCAACCATCTCATCACAACTCCTCAAACCCTCCACGTCGTTCACACACCCCCTCCCCCCCTCAGAAAAAGACGACATCACAAGTCTCACCTTTCCCCAGCATCCCAACACCTCCAGCTATCATGTATCTACTCATCAACTTAAATCCAAATCCAACTCAATCCACCCAAAAAAAACCCCCTCTCCCTCTCCCTCTCCCTTCCCCCTCCTCAATTAAGAAATCCCAACCCAGCAACTAACTCTCTCTCTCTCTTTCTTAGAATCCACCCACCCATCTCATCTTACCTCATCTCACATCTCAAAATAGACATACGTACCGTACTCGTAAATAGAAAAAAAGGCACACAAGGCACATCATAATGTTGAAAAGAGTCTTTCCATTCATCGAGAAACTGTAGAACCACCCATCACCAACCAACCACTACCACTAACCACCCCAACTTCTATCACACAAAAACAAGAAAAAAGAAAAAAGGTGAGTTCCTCCCATGCAGCATCTATTTCAAACACAGCTCTCCCCCATTTCGCCTTGCATTCGCCAGTCTTGCGTTTTCCCCCCAACATAAATGAAGGGAAAAAAGCAGCAAGAAAAAAACACCACAAGAAGCAGCCTTCAATGATAAAAAACTATTTCATGAGTCCCTTTCCAATGATGCAAGAAAACAAAAAAGAGAGCGAGAGCAGAGCAAGAGAGAGAAAAAAAATCAAGAAACAACCAAAAATGGAGCTCCATGACAAACAGGAAACCCGACTTTGGACTGGATCCTTTTCCTCAATTCTAGTTTCTTTCTGCCGTCAATAAAAGAGAAGAGATCCCTGCCATGCTATTTGTCGATTTGAGGGATGGGGGTTACACGAGAGTTGTTGTATGAGGAAAAGCAGTCAAAATAATTAATCTTGAAGTAGTTTCTGAGGACATTAAACCGTACGCCTGGAAAGAGAGAACCCATGGGAACGATTCTGGTTGGTACGGAAAAAAGGAGCTTCGTCGATTTAGGAGCTGTAACATTTATTTGACAAACAACGAAAGTCGTATCTGCTAAGAGCAGTAGGGAAGGGCGTGTGACATTCTGCTCCCGATTGCAGAGTATAGTGATTAGAAGGGGGTTTCGATGGCGGATTTTCATGACATTAACGCCGTCTGAGAAAAGAGATTTGGATGGAGAGTAGTCGGGACGGAAATTGTGAAGTTGTGGTAATCTATTTATGGATACGTGCTCATCCTAAGGATGGTCAGTTTCTGCAGCTTTTTATCTGTTGTGAAATGTTACTAACCGCAGCACAACGTCTTCAGGAGCTTCTGGAATCCAGTTGGAGCTGGTTCCTGACTTGGCCTATTTTGAGCCTGGGCGTTCATATGTGGCTGGGGCGTCATTCTTTGTGGTAAGTTGTTGGAACTGTTCTGGAACTGCGCCTGGGTTGAGCCTGTGGGAGTAGCGACGTCGTGGAGTCCCCCCGCCGCTCCGCTCGTACGTTTGGGGACCAACCCGCCTTGGGCGTTTGGTCGATCGCGCGATTTTCCCATCCCCGGTTTGATTGGGGATGGGGGCGGGGGCTGCGCGGCGTTTAAACGGGCGGCAGTGAGGTGACCTGGCGTGGTGTTTCCCCCTCTTGTAGTACCATGAAGCTCTCGAGCAGATGCTCCTGGGACCGCATTCTGGTTGTGTAGCACATGTTGAGAAGGATGTTGCTTCATTGCCTCCCATCCCTTTCCATTGTTGAGCTTCATCCAATCGTACTCGCCATCTTCCACTTCACCAGTATTTTTCAATGCTTGAGTGAAGAGATCTCGGAGGTAGTCGTAGTCGGGGGTATCCTCAAATCCAAGATTGCGGACGTAACTCAAGTATTTGTTGAATTCTTCCTGGAACCCATCACACAAGTCCTTGATGGCAGTGGTTTGCTTCTTCTCTCCAATCTTCTCGTACTTTTGCTTGTTGGTGGCAGCCTTCAGTCCTTGCCATGGCAAACCACCGCGTAAGAAATACATAAAGACGTGTCCCAATGCCTCCAAATCGTCTCGCCGAGATTGTTCACGACCCAAATGTGTGTTGATACTCATATATCTGGCGGTACCAGAAAGAGATTTTCGCTCGCGATAAGGAATGTGTTGCTTTGTTTTTGGGTCTCGATATTGTTTGGCCATACCGAAATCGACCACATGAATCACATTTGCAGACTTGGTTCCTGGTCGGCCGATGAGGAAGTTGTCGGGCTTGATATCACGGTAGATCAAATTCTTTTCGTGGATGGTTTGAACCCTCGACAGCTGCGATGATTAGTATATATCATCCATTAGCACAATGTGATTGCATACCATTTGCTTCGCTACCATGACCACGGTCTTGACCGAGAATCTGCGGTTGCAGTGATCGAAGAGATCCTCGAGAGATGGGCCGAGCAGGTCAATCACTAAGATGTTGTGAAGACCTTCTTGACCGAAATAGTAAACATTAGGAATACCGGCTGCTCAATGTTAGTTCCAGGACCCTGCATATGAGTGTTGGTGTACTAACGGCAACCAACAAGGATTTTATATGTTCGATACTCGTCTCGTAACTGGGGTGCATCACTCTTGCGAGGTTCCTGGAAGAGGGTCAGTCGACGTCAATTGATCGATGGCCATGTGTTTGCTGCCGACAATGGCGTCTCCATGGCCGCGAGGGGTACGTACGAATTTAATGGCAACCTGCTGGTTGTTCAGAAGGTTGGTTCCCTCGAAAATCACACCGAACGAACCCTCTCCTATCTTCTTCCCCACCCGATAATGCACACCCACGACATTTGACGATGATGAAGCCATGATACGATGCTAAAATCGAGTTCGTCGTCGAACTCTACGGCGAAATGAGCGTGAGAGTCGATCGGCGGCCGTCGAGGATTGATGGTGGCGTGGCCGAGTCGAGAAGCAGAAAGCGAAGCGTGAGCCTCAGGTGAGGCTTTAGGGGCGAGAGAAGGGTGAAGACGCGAGGGCGGCTCTTCGAGATGTTAGCATTGACTGTCACCTCGTGCGTCGTGGGCCCGTTGCCAGTAAATATCTCGGGGGGACGATAAGCCTGGCGGTCGCTGTTGACGGGATGGCGTTGAACAAGAGAAAGGTGTTGCTCTGATTTGCAAGATCGTTCCCAGTCGGATATGAGGTTGAACCTGAAATTGGGCGGAGCTCACTGAAGCGAATCGGGAAGCCGCACGGGGCAGGCCAGGGAGCGACGGGGGGTGGTGGTGGAAGTGGAGGGTGCGGCGAGCAGGTGAGGATGAAGGTCTCAGGGACAGCGCACGTTGAAGACTGGACTGGGACGTTGGAGCGGCGAGCGATCATTCACGATCATCCAGTGCAGCTGGTTTGAGGCGGGCAGGCAATGTCAAGAAATGATAGTGATTTTGGACGGGATTGACAGAAATATTCTGGTGGTACTTGAAGGACTCGAGTAGGGAGGGGCGGGTAGAGTTTGGCTTCTTTGGCTCCGCAGAGACCACGGCCACCTTAGTGCAAGGGGTGCAGAAGGGGCAGAAGGGGCAGAAGGGGCACTGGCGCTGGCGCTGACGCTGGCTCGACTGGCTGGCACTGACGCTGTCGTCGAAGTGACCGACGCGCAGGTGAACTCGAACTCTGGTGGCTGCTGGTGCGCTGCCCAAACTAAAAGTCAGGAGGACGCGAGTACCGGTACCTATATGGATACTCCGTACCTCACTAGCACATAAAGGTAAAAGCATAGCCACCTCGCCACCAAACACTACTCTATTATTGACTCCCGAATCTAGACTCACGACATCGCCGCCATCCATTTTGAAGTCTATCGAAAACACTGATTCACCAAAGCCAATTGCCTCTGCCTCCGTCTTCCTCGCCGCTTAGTCGGCCAGACCTCGGAAGGAGGCCATCTCTCACATTCATTATTCATGAGCACAATCTATACAATACACGGCTGGGCCGAGTGGTTTTGTGTTTTGTGTTTTGTATATTATCCTGGGGTGTATGCCATGCTGACGATGGCGAGAGCACATACACATCCATCAACAAGCAAGAAGTAAACAGAGCAGTACCGAGAATTTTACAATTACAGTTACAATTACCGCCGACTCCAGCTCCTTGTCTCAGGGGAAAGTCATTGGCGCCAACATCTGTTCCTAGACGTCTGGTGGACGCTACTACGCTTACTTGCCTAGAAAAAGGCTTAGTAGGCTCCTTTTGTATACATTCCCGTATCTACCTACCTACCTAGTACCCAGGTACCAGTGCCACACACAGCCGTACTCTCGTACTACAGCCAGCTCACAACACAGCCATACGCTACCGTACCTGACCGCACAGCTGCTTGTCCGTTTCCCCATACTCATACGCATACTGTACTGGTGATACCCAGTATCAGGTACGGTTCTACTGCAGTACCGGCTTCCGGTATCGACCCATTTGGTATATCTGGGTATATCTGGTACTTCATACACCTGGGACTCGTACACCTCAGGGGCTGAGTGCTCTCAACCCAGAAGTACCTGTTACATCTCCCAATCCCTTGGTGTGCATCGTCCAAAATCCGATAATGCACCTCCCAAAGAACCCACAAGATACCGGTTTAAGACCTAACTCTGGTTCCATCTATTTTTAGAGAGGCAACAGGCAATGCCATTGTTGTTGACAAATACGAGGACACTTACACTTCCCTTCTCGTCATTCTTTGCTTTCTCCAGATCTCGACGACGCGGAAGAGAGCCGTCTTGGAAAAAAAGCAACAAGCACTGCCGAGGTACGATCAACATCACTCCCAGCTAACCGTCCCCAACTCACCGCAGTCACAAAAACGACGCGGATATTTATCTCTCCCCTCCGATTATCTCTCAATTCGTCACATCTCAAACCACCAAACAAACCAAAACCGCACTGCACGATACATCAACCAATATACGAAGCGGTGTGAACCACTCACCCACCACCACGCGCCTATTCCAACCCCCACCCCCACCCAANCTCAAACCACCAAACAAACCAAAACCGCACTGCACGATACATCAACCAATATACGAAGCGGTGTGAACCACTCACCCACCACCACGCGCCTATTCCAACCCCCACCCCCACCCAACCCCAACCTTCCCATCTCCAAAGCTCCAAACACTCACCACAAGAACTCAATCTTTATGCCGCGGGCCGGTTTTAGCATCGAGATTCTCCTCCGTCTCCCAATTCAATGAATCCATCAAGCACCTTCCACTCCCAGCCCGATCCACCTTCGTACCGTTTACAAGAACAACCCGAGACTCAAGGATTTCTCCATCCCTTGGCACTGCAACCATTCGAGACCGAAAAGAATAAATCTGCTTGGACCTCTCTCGTCCCCACTTTTCCTTCATAACTTGAAAGTGTACTGTAACTCAATAGTCGAAAAGAAGAAGACGATCCTTAAGTATTCTCCGCTAGGTTATGTCCCGAGTAATTTACAGAAGGCGGCCCGGAGAAAGGGTAAAGTATATAAGTACCGTACTCGTAGAAAGGGTTCAAAGACTACGAAGTACCAAACTCTAGTTTCTATACTTCTTTTTTCTTTTCTAGGTCTTGGATTTTATATAGCCGGATATAAAAAGAAGATAAGAAAAGACTAAAAACCTAAACTCTCTTATTTATTTATTACTATTTAACGTCAGGCGGATTCTAGCTCGCGTGGGCTAGGTCCTAGAAGAGTCCCAAAATAGGGCAAATGACGCTAGGGGGGTGCCCTAGGCTACAGGGGGTGTAAACGAATGAGCTAATTTACAAGAGACAATTTAAAGAGAAGTTCCACTTTCAGAACAGCCCTTATCCTTAATTAGTTTTAGAACCAGGGTAAGACAAAGGAGATATATAGTTAAACGAGAAGGGAAAGGAAAGGAGGCGTGTCTAACTAGAGACAGATTTTGGTGTAGAATTCGGTCTTAAAGTAGACCAGGCTAAAAAGCTTCTCGCAGTGATGTCCAAAGAGCAGCTAGGGGTTCTTCTTGGCCTTAGCTAAAAGCTTAGGGTCTTTGTTGTTTGCTAGCTTGCAGAAGAGTAGGTGGAACTGGGTCTTAGCCTTCTTACACTTACAGTTCCCTGACTCAAGTAGCGAGTCGAAGTGAAAGTAGCGCAGATGGTAAGCCGTAAAGTCTCCATGTCCAGAACGAGCAGCAATTAAGCGAGCGAGGACCTCTCTAGGTAGCTGGAGAGATTTAGGCTTTGAGGGCCAGGTGTAGAGCCCTAGGTCTTTATAGAGAGCTGGAAGTGTCGTGCTCCAGAGCTTCTTCGCAAGCGCAATCCCTGTCTCCTTTACCTCTCTCTTAAGTGGCTGTGCAGAGTAAAGGGGAGGGTTCAGGAGAGGGTAACCGTGCTGCTCTCCCTGCAGCTTTATCTGCAATCTCATTGTCTAGGATCCCTATGTGGCTAGGGCACCACCTTGTCTGTATTTTCCCAGGGTACAATTGAGCTAATTCGTTGACCTTGTTGAAGGTTTCTTGCGAGGTGCCGCAGGTTCGGTAGGTCAGCTGTAGGGTAGCTTCGAGGTTGTCGAGGCAAATCCAGCACTTTCTGGCCGACGACCAGAAAGGGGAGTCCAGGGCTAGTTCTAGGCCATGTAGAGCAGCTCTAGCCTCTGCATCATATATCTCTAGCACCTTGCCAAAGGAGAAGATCTTAGTGTTGAGAATAGCCCCTCCTCTTATTAGACAGACACCCCCGCCAGTGCTCTTGTCGTCTAAGCGAGAGCCGTCAGTGAATACTACTAGATCAGTAGAAGGAACCATAGCTAGGAATTCAAGGAATTTGGCCTTAAAAGAGCTCTTGTCTCCACCAGGGTCAGGTCCTGCTACTTCAATAAGGCGGGCCTGTCGGTTGAACCCCCTGTCCCACGGAGGGTCTTGTATTGGGACAATCTCTTCAGAGGGAGGGAGGGCTCTATAAGAGCGATAGATAAGCCTAGCCTTAGGGCTAGGGCTATTCACACTTCGTTTGAGCGGGTGGGCAGGTCTAGCCGCCGGATCCTGGCTTCTAGTGCTTTACTTCTTGCTATAAGGGCAATTTCAAGGGCTAGAAGGCCAGATTCCATGAGGAGAACTGAGATAGGAGTAGTCTTGTATACTGGGAGGATAATCCTAGCACACTTAGCTACTACTCGGTCTAGGAGAGTCAGGTGACGGCCAATTCGGTTGTTTATAGTCCCTCCTTCTTTGGCTCTTACTCGTCTAGGGAACCATGTTTCGCTTCCAAAGTAGGCGATTGATAGAATACAAGCGGTAGTCGCTTGTTTTAGCAGGTAGGAGGGAGACCCTCTTATTGTGTTTGTTGTCCCTTTTAGAGCATTAGCTACTAGCGTAGCCTTACTTGTTATCCTTTTAACATGGTTGTAGAAAGTAAGACGAGGGTCAAAGAAGATGCCAAGCCAACGAAGCTCTTGGTTTTAGCAGGTAGGAGGGAGACCCTCTTATTGTGTTTGTTGTCCCTTTTAGAGCATTAGCTACTAGCGTAGCCTTACTTGTTATCCTTTTAACATGGTTGTAGAAAGTAAGACGAGGGTCAAAGAAGATGCCAAGCCAACGAAGCTCTTGGGTTAGCTCTATTGTTCTGCTCCCTACTATAATAGAAGGCGGAAGGCGGATGCCCCTCCCTTTTTGCTTTCTCTTACGAGAAAAGTGGATGAGTTCAGACTTCTCTGCGTCAAAGGTGATACCCTCGTCTGTACCCACTCTAATACACTAGCTACCTGTTTTGCGAGGACCTTCGTATTCCCTGCCTTAGTAGGCCCAAAAGCAAGTAATCTAATGTCGTCGGCATAGCCGAACCTTTGTAACACTGGGAAAGAGCCCACCCCTAAGGTAAAAAGTGGCTGGATGTAGAGCATGCAGAGGATAGGTGAGATGGGCGAGCCCTGGGGCAGGCCACATTGAAGAGGGGTAGATACTCCTATTTCTCCATCTAGCTTTACTTTAACAGATCTATTAGTCAGGAAGGAGGTAACCCATGCTACAAAGCTATGCGGCCATCCTTGCTCTCTCAACCTCTTGATCAGGCGGCCAGGAAGTACTGCGTCGAAGGCGCCCTTAATATCTAGCGTAAGGAGGGAGGCCTCCTGTTTGTCTACCAGTGCCTTCTTAATGTCAAAGGTAAGGCAGGTAGTAAGGTCTGTAGCAGCTCTTAGAGGGAGGGCTCCGAACTGGTTCGGCCCTAGAACAGAGTGCTTAATAGCTATCCATAAAGCTCTCTTTGCAAGAAGTCTTTCAAGCCCCTTTCCTAGGACTGAGAGTAGGGAGATTGGTCGGTATGCTCAAGGAGACGACTTATCCTTCTTATTTAGCTTTGGAATGATAGCAACAATTACAGTACGGAAGATCTTAGGGTGGAACCCTATCTCTATACATCCCTTGAATAGAGAGTACACTAGGTGTGAGATCTGGTGCCAGGCAGCCTTAAAAACCCCTGTCATAAGCTCATCCTCTCCTGGTGCAGTAGAAGCCTTTCCAAGGACTGACTC